CACCAAAATTGAAGTTAAGACCGGATTCTGACTGCTTAGGCCACGCGCAGTCCTCGCCTGAAGTCCTTTTTTTTTTTGTTTTTTTTGTTTTGGGATCCTTGCCTCTTTTTTGTCCCGTCTGGTTTTGTCGGGCGACCCCCCCTCTGCCCAACTGGCCCTGGGGTCCCTACTGTAGCCGGGCGTGGTGGGCCGGGCGACGACGTCGCCCGCCCAACATAGCTGTACGTTCTATTCGGGTGAGGCGGTAGTCCATAGCGTCCTCTGGTCAACTAAACCATATCTTCTGCAGTCCCCATCCTGAGGGGTTTATGCTTGTTTCTTCTCATTTGAAGGGGGCTGGCTGTATGCTGCTGTACTGTGCCAGCAGGGAACGGATGGTGAATACAATCGATTGTGAAGGAGTGAAACAAAATAAACTTCTGCCAAGCTCCTGTGGGACATTACATGAGAGTGGCAACTATGGCCGGCTCTGACGAACAAGGGGAACTTGAGCTGACCCTAAAATTTCAGGAGCGAAATTTAGGGAACGTGGGGCTAGATATTGAGGTGCACCCTCAGAAGCCATGGATCCTTTTCATCGGTGACCGTGAATGTCACCGCAAAAAGCTTCAGGTCTGGAACTACAAAGATGGCTGTCAGATGGCGACTGCAGCTTGTCCTCCAGGGTTGAAGTACAACGCCGCAAAATTCGTAGGCAGGGAAGACTGGGTTGCGGTTCTTCAATTCTCAACCTCGATTTGCGTGTTCGAAGTTATCGTCTACGAAATTGTGCCGACTTCGGAAGTCGGGCCGTGGACGTTCGAAAAGGTTATGGGTTTACCGATCACGGACGAATTCGATGAGCGAGTCGTCTTGAGCTTCCCGAAGAAAGCCAACAGACTTGAGAAACTGATCTCCCTGGTTGTCGATCCGAGTTCGCGGTACTTGTTTGTAATTGGAAACCTCCGAAGTTCATGGTTTGCGAGGTCCACAGATTCGATTTTCATGTGGGACATGGATCAGTCGTGGGAAAAAGGTATCCTGACCAGTCGGCATCCCATAACCAAGCTGGCATTTCATCCTCGGGAGCCACGCGTTCTTGCAACTGGCGGAACTCGCTGTCACATCAGGGTGTGTGAGGGTGGAAAGTGGTCTGTTCTCCTGGACAAGTGTAATGGAGGTGAGATTACATCTCTGCAGTTCTGCGACGATCTGCAAAGGTCACTTCTTGTCTCAGGCTTTCGACACGGCGATTTTTGGATCTGGGACTACAAGGCGAAACAACGTGTTGCCCGGCTTGAAACTTGTAGACCTGTGAAGGCGCTATTCCATCCTACGCGGCCATATATATTCAGCGCGTCTAGGGCGGGAATCATCACAGCTTGGAATGATTCAAACTACCAACCAGTGCGGTTATTGGACTGTGGCGAGAAAGAAGTGTGTAGCATGGCGCTCTGTGGCAATTCTAATGAGCTCATCCTTGTTGTTGGAGGCAAAGGAACATTCCTCGTCATGGAGGCAGATCACCATCACCAAGCAGTTCATCCTCAGAAGAGAGTGAAATTGGAAGAAGAAGAAGGGTGCAACAGGAAAGAATTAGAGGCAAGCGTCCAAGCATCCAAAGGAGCGAACCGAGAGGAGACTAGCACGCAAGCAGAAACGGTACAAGAACATGAGACACAGGTGAGCGAGGTGGCATTGGAGATGGAGTCAGCGAAAGGAAGACCAAAACAACAAGAGTCAGTCCATGCGAAAGCTGAGGGGACGAGTAGTAGTAGGAGGATGTCTCAACCGTTTGAAACTGCCGTGCTCGGATGGATGCAAATCGGAGCGACAACTGAGCTGAAAGAGAGACTTGAGCAATCGCAATCTGGACCAGAGGATGAAGAGAACAACCTCGAAACTGACGTGAGTGATCTGATGGAGGAAACATTGGCACCTGGTCGGAAATCCGAGCAATCTGGTGTAGAGAAGGGGAGGGACGAGCGCGAGCAGATGGATGACGAGAGAGTCGAGCACCTGGGAGGTGAGGTAAGGAATGTGACAGAACAGAGCAACGGCATCCACGGAATGAAAAGTCAGGATCCATGTGGATCAGATCATGAAAAAGAGAATCAGATGCGCACAGAGATGATTCGCCATCCTGAGGAGGCCGTTGTGCACTATATAGGTATAGGAGTGGCAAATAAGGAGGCATCAAAACGTCGGATGGAAAGGATGTTAAAGCGCCGATTAAAGCGACACCGATCAGAGGGCGAACAAAGCGAGGGAATGCATGTGGAGAGGATAAATCAGGTTGAGAATCAGGAACTTCAACATGCAAGCGATCTGGGTCTGGGGGCAAGGGGGCAGGTCCCCGAAGCGAGATTTGAGCGATTGGGAACCGAGCAGGAAAATGCCGACCAGATGCATGCAAAGAGGATCAAGGAGCTGGAAAGGGAAGTCGGTAACCTGGCGAAAGAGAGCAAGAAGGTGAAGCGGATTGAGAGCGAGGTGAGAAATCTGAAAGCAGAGAGGAACAGACTGAAAGAGAGATGTAAAGCGCATGCAAAAAAAGAGCAAATGCTTGCAGAGAGGGCTAAGAGGCTCGAGGCTGAAACAAGCAATCTGAAATTGGAGAGGGAAACATTGACGCGAAGGTGTGAGGAATCCGAGTCCACGATTCACGGATTGCAGGCCAAGTATTGGGAACTGATTGAGGATAAGTTGGCGGAAAAGACGCAGTTTGAGAAATCGAGGGCGAGGGTACAGGAATTGGAACAGAGGTTGGAGAGAGAGGCGTGTGCACGGGAAGCATTAGAGAGGTCTCTTGCACTGCGAGGTGGGAATGAAAAGGATCGTGTCGATCGTTTGTGGGAGTTTTCCTCTGAGGAACTGCAGGCTGCGACCGGCAGATTCAGTGATAGGTGTAAGCTTGAGGAACGATGTTACGGGTCTGTTTACGAGGGAAAGATTGCGTCCATTATGATAAAGAAGCTCAAGGCTGGTGATAAGATCGGGCAACAGCATGGCAAGTTGACGGCGGAGATGATCGATCGGTTGAAGTCTCTTCACCACCGGCACTTGCAGACATTCCTTGGAGTGTGCTATGACGAAAACTGTTTGGTGTATGACCACCCGGCCAATGGAAGCGTCAAAGGCAGCATCTCCGGCACAGAGATGTCAACAGGGAGATCTCTGCCATGGCATGTACGGCTGCGAGTTATGGCGGAGGTCGCGCAAGCCCTGCTCTTCCTTCACTCCAATCAGTCGGCGGCTGGTGGTCCAATCATTCACCGCAACATCAAGCCAGAAAACATCTTTCTGGATGCCAAATTTTCAGCGAAAATTGGTGAGCTCGATGTGGCCTTGCTTGTCCCCGACCAAGCATCCGAAATGTGTCTGTCCACCTTATCCAGTCTGCAATACCTGGCGCCGGAATTGGGTCGCCGTAAGGTCTTTGACGAGAAGACCGACATTTACTCGTTTGGTGTCACCATTCTCGAAATGCTTTCCGGAAATTTTGCAGATGCAGTGGGAACCATTGAAGATGCCGTGAAAGATGCGGCGACTTTCCCAAGTGCTCTGGATGCAAAAGCAGGAAGTTGGGACGTTGAATTGGCACTGCAGGCAGCGCAGCTGGGGCTGCGCTGTGTAAGCTTGGATAGACATGACCGGCCAAGCATGATGACCGGCGAAGGTGCTATTCTACCCATCTTGAGTGAAATCGCTAGCAAAGTGTGATTCACTGAACTCAGTGGAGGCCATTGGTAGACACAACGGAACGAGTCACATACCACACAGTGCAGGGGGAGGTATAGCCTAGGTATACCCTAGGTATACCCTAGGGTAGGGTATACCCTAGGTGGGAATTGGCGGGTCAGTGTGGAGGTGGGGGTGTGTAGATAGGGGGGAGGAGTAGTGATTGAAGGAAGCGTTGATCTGATGTACACTTCTGAGATTGTGTACAGTTTCTCTGAGTCAGACCTCCTTTCTGATATTTTGTGCTTTCTTTCTCAAAGAGTCTTGATTCTTGAGAGTATTGCTGGCAAANTGATATTTTGTGCTTTCTTTCTCAAAGAGTCTTGATTCTTGAGAGTATTGCTGGCAAAGTAGACCTCCTTTCTGATATTTTGTGCTTTCTTTCTCCAAGAGTCTTGATTCTTGAGAGTATTGCTGGCAAAGTAGATTATGTCGATCTTGCTCGCACGAAGTAGTGAGATATGGTGGAAACTAGTTTCAATGGAGAAATCATGAGCGGCAGGTGGTAGGCTGATGATGCTCTTGTGAAAGGCTAGGAGATTTATTTACGTTGCGAAGATCAAAGGAGGGTTTCGAATGGACCATGAAGCAATGCCATGCCTATTCCAGTCCGTGAGCCAGCTGGTGGCGGGAGGAAACAAGAAAAAAAAGCCGCGGCTCGAAACAGAGTGGAAAGAGATCAGACAACACTGTGACGCCTCGTGTGTAAATAGTCCACCTACTACTTGAAAATAGCTGTCGCTACAAGGCTCGCCGGCTGGAAAGAGAGTGGAAAGAGAGCGGACAACACTGTGACGCCTTGTGTGTAAATAGTCGACCTACTAGTAGGAAATCGCTGTCGCTACAATGCTCCTCATTCATTAGCACCTCCTCCTGCTCTTTTGATTGACGACAAGGATGTCCAAGAACAGTTTTGTAGGGTATCAGGCACTGTAATGGCCTCGTAAACCCGCAGTTCACCCGAAGCAGAGTAGGGCTCTCACAGGTTTTTACATGGTTAGCGCTTTTCGATCCGGGCATGGGCCGGTAGTGAACGTTTTTTGCAGGCCTCTTTGAAAAGGCGCGGTTGCGGACTCACGGCGAGCCTTGGACGGTTTCTTTTTCGAGGTTAGCTTCATCAACGTAGGCTCGTGTGAACTGGTGGTTTAAGTGGAGTTACCATGTGTTGTGGACTGTTTGGGGTGTTTTCGATCACACAGAAGCAACAGCCATAAATCTTTGGACTGTTCTCTCCTGTTGTCTTGTCTTGAGGGAAGGAAACTATTTAGCACTTCAGTGGGACTTGTTTAGTGAGTTACAGAGCCACTTTTGCTCTCTATAATTGCCTTGTGCCAGATGATGGCGGTCGTTTGCATCCCAGCCATAAGCTGGCACCTACCATGTTTGCCTGTGAATCTACTATAGCCGAACGTATCACATTTACCTGTGCATCTCCTTTTCGTGGGGGCGAAGCCGTTAGGGTTATTGTATCTTTCTGATTCTATCAGGACTTGAAGAACTCCTCCATCTGGCTATCAAGACTGGGATGGTGTCCATGCGTATCTGTTCTCCTCTGTGGCGCCAATTTGTGTGCAAAGTTGCAATCCATAGTGCGAAATCGCCTGATCTTCCATCTGTTACTTAGGCAAGTAATTGATTGCACAGTTTGTATGCTGAGTAAGGTCAGTGAATGTCAAAGTTGGCTGTGCCGATGTATGTCTGTGTAGTCAAGCTACAGAACTTCAACTACGTCCAAGTCTCCAACCACTGCTTGGGTTTTCGTCGATCACGTGAGCAGGGCAGGTTGTGGCGATTGAGGACAGCGGATTCTTCGTTTTTTTTAACTAAACGGATGTTGTGTGCCAATACCTCCGGAGCCATTTTTTCCTCCATACGCTTCTCCACTCCCGATCAGTATTGATTAACATGTGAATGTTTGTGATGCAGAAGCCAACCCTGTAGAAAACACCCCAACCCTTTTCCCTGGGAGTGGAACATTCTCAGTTGCAATTTTGCTGTAGACTCTGTCGAGAGTCGAGACAGATTTTCCACATTTTCCGTCTTCCTCCCCTACGAATCGTTTGGAGGTGTTCCCATGGCCTGCCATAGCCAATCGTTTTATAATATTTTATATCCATGCATAACATTGTGGAGTTAATGCCAAAGAGTTGTGATTCGTGTGGACATTTGTCTTTCCTTATGCTGATACGAGGAGCAGGTGAGGAAGTTGTTCCATCGCTCCTCCGACATCGAGCGTCCCTGTCATTCACTGCACTAGCCTAGACAATTGACGCAATCCATGTATAAACTTCCACAATCCTGCTGCACAGTGAACACCCATAACTGTTGGCACAGCCTCCTTTCCCCCCCCCTTCTGTTGGCACAGCCCTAGCCCTTTGGATTGATGCTTTCCCCCACAGTTCCGTGGCGGCCATGGCGGCATGTAGTTAAAAAAAAAAAAAAATTGAACGTAAGACTCGTAAGTTGATAATGTTGATTATAATTTTAATATTTCTCGATTCACATGTCGATTTGAATTTTTGTTCTGATCTTGTGATCACCCCAAGAAATCATTTCTGGTACATGTTTGGAATCTGTTCCTCGACTTCTTTTCCCCCCCCCCCCCCCCCCCCCCCCCCCCCCCCCCCCCCCCCCTTGAAAACCAAGTCTCGCCGCTAGAAAAGGGTGATAAGAGCACCCCTTCTAGCAGGTTGTTGCCTGGTCGCTCCGATCTATTGGTGGGAGCTACACCTGCCCGGAAAACGGGTCCAGCGTCCCTATGAGCCACCTCAACTGTTTCTCGACTTATGTACAGTCTGTCCCTCTTGAAACGGTTTTCACCTGTCAGCAGTAGCGAGCGCAGATCCCAGGGCTCGATCCCTAGTTCCCACCTTACCTGTGTACAGTATTTGTGTTGACCCCGAGTGTTTGAACCCGTGACCTGTGTTTTGACAGTTGTTGTTGTCTGTCGTAAGTCGGTGTAGGGGTAGGGGTTCGATCTGTAGACCTGTCGGATAGGAGTCCTAGTGAGTTCCAGAAGTCGTAGCTGTAGCCTGTCCGAAGGGTCAAGGTCGTAGCTGCTACAGTCCTGAAAGGTCAAGGTCGTAGCTGCGACAGTAACGAAAGGCCAAGTCTACGGCCTTCCGGAAGGTCCCAGTAGTGGCCTTTCGAAGTTGCCCACATTTAGGCTGAGGCAAGTGGGCAAGTGGTGAGGCAAGTGGGCAAGTGGTGGAGCCTACCCGTGCTGAGTCAACAGTCCCAGTCCCCAGTCAGTCCTGGTGCAGTCAAGCAAGTACCGTATGGGACTGTGTGCACTACGGGCATGGGAGAGGGCCAGACCAACGAGCTGCAGAAGTATAAATCAAGAGGCAGCGCCCAGCCATTCATTCATTCCTGCGTAAGCCAAGAGGAAGCGCTGCCATAGCGACTTGTGCGAGGTGGTCTGCAGTGAGCCCGAGGACGAAGAGGGCGAGAAGGAGTTAGCCATAGCGATAGGGTAGAAGCGGCCATAGCCGCCATAGCTGTAGGTGTGTGTGAGTGTGTGTGCAA